TTGAATTAAGACCGAAGTTGAAAACCAGAAAATTTTAAAATACTTACAGTAATTTTCTTTTCCTGGCTAATATCCATGTCGGCATCAATACATTCCCCACCTCTTGCTTGGCTTGGATAGGGGAGGAGGGTCCTTATATATGTTAACTCAAAGTTTATTATTCCTGTCCTATCAGCTGAGATGGAGGAGCTTAACCCATTGGTGATGCTGAAACGGATTAGCCAGGAATACAGTTTAACCTGCAAAATCCTTTGTATGGTGATTTACGTCACTACTTTTTATCATTTTTAATTATAAACCGATTACTCACATATATAATATCCTATGTCGGATCTCGCTAGGTGTGGAAATTGTGCTAGAAAAAGGGATTTTGGCTTTGAAGCCACAATGACATCTAGCAACTACAAAATAGTTTGTATGGTTTCCTGTTTGGAGTTTCTGCAAAGTAATTGCACAGCAGTTGGGCTTCAATTCGCAGAACTGGCAAAAGCCCAATGTGTCTCACCCATCTTACTAACATGACTGAAAAACATGTAATTAAAGGGACACCATAGACAACCAGACCACTTCAGCTCACTAGAGGCACTTCTGGGATTCGAAGGGACTCTGAATCCCCAAACGGCGCTGAATGTCCTTACGCTCTGCATAAGGACATCTGGTGTCAGTGAAATACCGTCAGGAAAGCACTGATTCAATGCTTTCTTTTGAGGAAGGCATAACATACGTGCTGTGCTTGCGGTAATGCGCATTAGCTCCCACCATCAGATGGCGTCAGAGGAGGCAGAGTGCCAACTCAGCGCAGATGGAGATTGGCGCTGGAATCGGGTGAGTAAATAAATAAGGGTGCGAGGGAGGGAAAGATCAGAGGGCACTATTGTAACCGTGGCTGGTTCCCTTATTTACCACTATAATGTCTTAAAGCATAGAACTGAGTAGGGCTAACCATACAGATATCTTAGCCATAATTTTATATAGTGTAAGAGATCCTCTATTTAACATATATAAATAATTGAGAATACAATATAAAATAAGGATTGTCTTGGAAGCAAGATTGTCTTTTTGGATATTATATAAAAATATAAAATTAATTATAGCAGAGTTTATAAGATTAAATTACATGCTTGCAAATATCATTAATAGGTTAACATACCCTTCTGAACATGTCATCATGTCAGCCTCTCTGTCATTTTAAGATGGAGCAGCGTCTGTCTCCAAGTCTCTCCTCTGTGTTTTAACATTTAAAAGTACACCTATTTATACCTTAGGTGTCTCCATTTTAGGTTACTGTAGTTCAAATATGAAAAAGTAACACTTCTTTTACTTTATTCAATTTAGGACCTCCCTTAATTTGGCAAACATACAAGGCCATAACTAAAGGGTATATACGTCATGGAAATTTTCCTGACTTAGTTCAAGATGGCATCTTAAAGTCTGAATAGGTTATCTGTTGTTTATACTAAGTCGTAAGTGTACAGTCGTGGGAGATTCCCGGATTTGGGGAAGTTCCATTAACTTGGGGTTACCACAGTATATTGTGTACTGCAAGAGTCGTAGTATAGCCTTGAAGCTTGTTTATGCATTATTGTTATTGTAATTGTCTGGGACAAAATGGCGCAAACATATTATGCACTGAGGTTATTGCTTAAAGAAACATCTATGAAAAACAATGTGTTCCATTTCTAACACCTTGTCAGTTTGCAATATCTCTTAAAGACAAAGTACACAGTTTAAGAAATACAACATTTCATTCTAAAACTTGTAATATTTGTATTTGCCCATAACACCCTCTCCATTAAACTGTGGGCATTGTAGCGTATTTCTTCCTTAACCCCTTAAATCCGCAGGGCGTACTATTACGCCCTGCAGGAGCCGGCTCTAAACGCCGGCGGGCGTAATAGTACGCCCTCGCTTTAATTGCCGCCCACGTGGCCGGCTCTAATCTCCCGCTGCAGATCGCGGTCGGGGGGTGTGACAGATTCATCTGCATTGTTGGTTCATCTGTTTCCCTTTGTTCGCGGAATTGCCTGTTCATATACCCCCCTTCGTGTAATTTGCAAACTACTGATTGAAACTACCGAACGAACGACCACCCAGGAGAGGAGTGTGCTGCTGGTTAACCTCTTGGCCCCAATTAGAACGTTGTGGTTAACCGCAGACACCTCTCCATTCCATTCGTACGGGTGGTCGTCGTTCGCATGTCGACCACGAGGCAGCGGCCATTTTGGGACATACGAACACATAGCGGTGTTCGGTACAAACTGTATGGAACTAAAAACGGACACTTAAACTACCGAACACCGCTGAAAAGCTGCTGCCTACCTTCCTTTTCGACAAGGCATGCGAACGTCGGTCGTTCGGGAGTTTTATTCATTCGTATGGACTTTCACCCCGACAGCCATCCCATGGAGTCATTCGTATACCGAAGGACTGGTGAAAGACTTTGACTCCATGGCGATTCGACTAGATACATCGGATCTGAGCGCTATTCGGTGAAAACATGCCCTCAGATCCAGGCTGTCTGGGGATACGTTACACGAACCATATGTATTCGGTATTTCTGTCGTTATGTATTTTAATGTAATTTCGTTACTGTATTTCAAGATGGCGATTGTCTCTACCTTGAGAGATAATTAGGTTTCGTCCTAGTTATCTCCGAGGTAGAGAAGACGGAATTATGGGCAAGATGGGAAGGGCTATTATTGAAGCCACTGCGATTGGCTACTGTATAATATATTTTACAGTCTTCCACAAGGTCCCCTCGGGGAGTGTCCACCTTGTGGAGACCTGCATAAATACCGGGCAGGTAGCCCCCATTAAACAGATCTTCATTTGACCCTCAAGACGGAGCTTGGTCTCGTTTGTGGGGGGAATTATTACTGGGACAGCGCTTTCGTTATTTCTAGCTGTGGAAGGCGTTCGACTGTTTGGCTGATCGGGAGTTGCCGTGTTCGTGGACTTCGTTCGGGAGTTTGGCGGTCGGCTGGATTTAAACTGCATTTCTGGAGAAGGGGATTATTGCCTAAACGGCGGCTTCATCTACCCGACGGTACGTGTCATAACAGGGGGGATGCCCGGCCCCCCAGGCAACCCCCCCTGTGGCTGGTGACCGCGATCTGCAGCTTCTGATCGCAGTGACAGGCTGTCACTGCGATCAGTTTTTAAGCGTGTGTCAGCCGATTTCAAATCGGCTGACACACGTGGCCAGCGGCTACCCCTGTGCAGATCGCGGTTGGGGGACATACCTGGCCCCCCAGGCAGTCCCCCTGGGGTCAGTGACCGCGATCTGCACTGTGTGAGATCGCAGTGACAGGCTGTCACTGCGATCTCACAGTGCTGTGATCGCAGTGACAGCCTGTCACTGCGATCACACACGTGGCGGCGGCTACCCCCGTGCAGATCGCGGTCGGGGGACTTACCTGGCCCCCCAGGCAGTCCCCCTGGGGTCAGTGACCGCGATCTGCACCTTCTGAGATCGCAGTGACAGGCTGTCACTGCGATCAGTGTTACATGTATCAGCCTAATGGCTGATACATGTAACAGCCACCATGATCCCCCTGCAGATCGGTAGGGGGAGTGCTTGTACCACCCAGGCACTCCCCCTGTGGTCAAATAACCAATCTGCAGGAGGTGATCACAGTGACAGCCAGTCACTGTGATCACTATTAGAATGTGTCAGCCAATGACCTCAGGTCACTGGCTGACACTTTGTCTCTGCCCCTCTCCTCACCTCACTTCGATCTGAGAGAGAGAGGCAGAGACATCGTTGGTTTTAGAGCTCCTGTGAAAAAAAAAAAGTTGTATTACTTTATAAAAGTTTTAAATATATATTTAATTTAACCCTTTCAGCACTGATCACAGTTTATTACTGTCATCAGCTGAATAGGGCATCAAGTACTTTTGTACTTTATTTTAAAAAAAAATTGGGGTCAAAAAAAAATAATTTCTCATTTTTTTGACCCTTTGTGTCAGTTGCAGCAACCCAAATCTCCATTACCCTTTCCCCGCTGCCGTGATCACTGTACGGTACAGTTTATCTGCTGTACGGTACTATATCAGTGATCACTGTGATCAGAGGGCTCTCTGATCAGGCTGACTTTTTTTTTTTTTTTTTAAGGGTTATTTTTTTTCATAACTTAAAAATAACCCTTTCAGTACTGATCACATCTCCCTTTACTGTGATCAGTACATTTATTTTGTTTTTGAGGGTGGGTATTGGGTGTTAGGCAGGTAGTTAATTAATTAGCCCCTTAGCCCTTTTCACTTAATTTTTTTCCCCCTAGAATGGCACGTCGCTACTCAGCCGAGGAGGCGTATGCCATTCTGGCAGGCAGTGATAGTGACACTCTGCAAGACAGTGACACTATCACTGCCTCTGACATTGAGCCTCTGAGTGAGACCTCAAGTGATGGTGCCCCACCACCACTCACAAGAGGACGCTCAGAATGCCCAATGCCAGAGGGAGACTGGGTGCCTTCCGTTCACTGTTACACCTGTCATCACTGTAACAGTGGACGACTGCGAGCCAATTCGTTTTTTTGAGCTATTTATGTCGGACGATGTATTTGAGCTCATGGCTCAGCAAACAAATTTGTTTGCTATGCAGTATCTCTCTGCACATCCGGGGTCCCATCATAATCGCAGGAATATGTGGAGACCCACGGATGTCGCAGAGATGAAGCGGTTTTGGGCTTTAACCCTAGTGATGGGTATAGTTAAAAAGCCCAGTATCAGGTCCTACTGGAGCAAGCAACGCATCCTGGCTACCCCTCTTTTCCCTGAGGTTATGCAGAGGGATCGCTATCTGCAACTGCTGCGATTCCTTCATTTTAATGACAACTCACTGTGTCCCCCTAGAAATGACCCACTGTTTGACAGGCTCTATAAAATTCGGCCCTTTATCCAACTCCTGTCAGACAAATTTTCTGAAAATTATATCCCCGATAAAGATATTTCAATTGACGAGTCCCTTATGAAATTCAAAGGTCGACTGCTATTTAAGCAATACATTCCTTCTAAGCGGTCCCGATATGGCGTTAAATTTTATAAATTATGCGAATCCTGTACTGGTTACACATGGGCGTTTCGCATTTACCAGGGGAAGGATAGCCATCTTGACCCACCAGGATGTCCTGATTCTGTGGGTACAAGTGGAAAGATTGTTTGGGATCTAATCCTTCCCTTGTTAAATAAGGGATATAGGCTATGGGTTGACAATTATTATACCAGTATACAGTTATTTAAAAATTTATATTACTTTGAAACCCTAGCCTGTGGCACAGTGAGGAAGAATCGCAGGGGTTTCCCCCAAACCCTGGCAAGAGGCAGAAGCAGTAGAGGTTCCTCTTCAGCCCTCCGCCAGGATGAGTTGCTTGCCCTTCGTTTCACAGATAGAAAGGATGTATACATGCTGTCTACAATGCATGACGAAAGTACAGTGCCAGTGTCTGTGAGAGGTAGCACTGAGCATCTGGAAAAGCCGAAGTGCATTGTAGACTACAGCAAGTTTATGGGGGGAGTAGACTTGGCTGACCAATGCATACAGCCCTATCTAGTGAACCGGAAAACTAGGACCTGGTACAAGAAAATTGCAATCTACGTGAGCCAGATTGCAATTTTCAATGCCTATGTCCTCTATAAAAAAGAGGTCATAGGTAGGCCCTGCCCTTTCCTAGACTTCACTCTAAGCCTTTTGTCACATTTATTATTTACCCAGCCCCCCAATCCCACTTTGGGATCAGAAGATCTCCAAAGACTTTGTGGCAAACACTTCCCTTCCCGAATCCCTGCCACCGCTAGTAAAAGAAATTCCCAAAAAAAGTGCCGTGTTTGCTACAAGAAAGGAGTCCGAAAGGACTCTAGTTATTATTGCCCAACTTGTCCATCTAAACCCGGCCTCTGCATAACAGACTGTTTCAAAGTCTACCATACAGAGCTGAACTTCTAAATCACTCTGTATGGGACTTTGGCAGTGTGTTTACATAGAAACATAGAAACATAGAAACATAGAATGTGACGGCAGATAAGAACCATTCGGCCCATCTAGTCTGCCCAATTTTCTAAAAACTTTCATTAGTCCCTAGCCTTATCTTATAGTTAGGATATTAGCCTTATGCCTATCCATGCATGTAAACTCCTTTACTGTGTTAACCTCTACCACTTCAGCTGGAAGCCTATTCCATGCATCCACTACCCTGATACTTCCTGATATTATTTTTAAACCTTTGTCCCTCTAATTTAAGACTATGTCCTCTTGTTGTGGTAGTTTCTTCTTTTAAATATAGTCTCCTCCTTTACTGTGTTGATTCCCTTTATATATATTTAAATGTTTCTATCATATCCCCCCTGTCTCGTCTTTCCTCCAAGCTATACATGTTAAGATCCTCTAACCTTTCTGGTAAGTTTTATCCCGCAATCCATGAACCAGTTTAGTAGCCCTTCTCTGAACCCTCTCTAAGGTATCAATATCCTTCTGAAGATACGGTCTCCAGTACTGTGTACAATACTGCTCAAAGTGAGGTCTCACCAGTGTTCATACAATGGCATGAGCACTTCCCTCTTTCTACTGCTAATGCACTCTCCTATACAACCAAGCATTCTGCTAGCATTTCCTGCTGCTCTATTGCATTGTCTGCCTACCTTTAAGTCATGGGAAATAATCACTAAATCCCTTTCCTCCTTGTATTTGAGGTTAGGAACTCTATCAAATATTCTGTACTCTGCCCTTGGGTTTTTACGTCCAAGATGCATTATCTTGCACTTATCCACATTAAATGTCAGTTGCCACAATTCTGACCATTTTTCT